CTGTGGGTTTAGAACAAAAGATCACTGAATGAAAAGGAGTTTGGTCTTAAGGTTTCTCTGTTCCAATTTCCTTAGATCACTGGTGGAAGAGGAGGATCCTCATATGAAAGTATCTCTTGGTAGCAGCGATATGGGCGTCTCTGCCCATCTGCAGTCTTCGAAGACAGGAACCACAAGATTTTTCACCAGCAATACTCACAGTTCTGTGGTATTACAGGTAATTAAATATCCTCATGCCTGTATTGACCTGTACTGAGAATTTTGGCTGCTCTAAACAATGTGTCCACTCAATAGATTTTATTAGTCTGGTAATTCCTATAAAGCCTCAAAAACTCTCATGTTCTTGTGCTGCCAATGTCCACAAGCAAGCACTTGCTTGGGACTTATTTTCTTGTGAGACAGAGGTTCAACTTTTAGCAGCAGCTTGGAAAAAAAAAACAAACATGGCCTTTTCCTGGGGTCATATCCCAGTCCACTCTCAAGGTCTAAGAGGTAATAATATTTAAACTCTGACATTACAACTGTATGAAAGCAGCACACTTAAATATCATTATTTAATTAAGGCATGTCCCTAAGGTGGCAGAGCCATACCAGGTTTGGTGTAATGCCCTGTGCTGGGTCTGATTGTGGCACTATTGTATGGTAGAGCATCTACAGAGACAATATTTACATTCTTGCTAGTATTAGAAAAATACCAGTTTGAAGGAAAATGTTTAATGTTTGAACTTCTGTTCCACAACCTTCAGAATGAAGGAGGAGAGTATTTCATTCATCCTGAAGTATCCACACCTGGGTACATCTTTGGAGGAATTCTTGCTCTAGGATGCTGCTGTAGATGACTTTATTATACAGTTACAGGTTATAAGTAATTCGGAGGAGATCAGATGTATAATGGGAGCTTCTTTTGGAAGTTTTAGCATGTCAGCTTTGGTAACAATTTTTATAATCATAGAACCAGGTAACAGCTTTCAGGCCACAGACTTTTGCAGCCTGTTAGGTTGCAAGCCCCTTAAATTGCTGTGGAACAGAATTATATATAGGAAGCATATGTGATCAAAAGGGGTAGGTCCAAAAAAGATAGCAGTCACTTCCTGAAGCAACTGCTAGTGTGAAAGCTTACAAAAGAAACTTCTTCCAGAAAATAACTTAACTATTTAAATAAAAATACTTTCTAGGTGTACTTTGCATTCATCAGCTGTATCTGGAAAAAAAGGATTATTCTGCTTGTTTTCAATGAATAATAATCATTGAATATATTACAGATAATGGTTTTCAGATGACAAATTATTTCTTCGTCACTTTTTTGGACCTACAGTACACATGTACATAAGAATAAATGAATACTTACATAAGGGAAATGAAAGAGATTCCTGCTCTCCTCCCAAATCAAAGGGATGCTCTGCATTGTGCTTTTCCTGCAGGGTTTTGACCAGCTGCGAGTGGAAGGTTTGCTCTGCGATGTGACGCTCGTTCCTGGAGATGGTGATGAGGTGTTTCCCGTCCACAGAGCAATGATGGCTTCTGCAAGTGATTACTTCAAGGCCATGTTCACAGGTGGTGTTTTTATTAAAGCCCTGTACTGCTGTCTGCAAATTGCCCTCATTCAGACACTCAGACACAAGTTCAGTGCTGTGTATGAGTCAGTCCAGGATTGCAAACAACAATGTAGACTAAACATCTCTCTTTACTTTTGCATGTGGGGTTTTAAAATTACATTTTAAAATTGTATTTGAATTATCTCTAAATTTATGAAATAATTTCAACCCCATCAAAATGATCATATACATTTGCCTGCATGTCTGTTTCAGGAGGAATGAAGGAACAAGATTTAATGTGCATTAAGCTTCATGGTGTGAACAAAATAGGCCTAAAGAAGATCATTGATTTCATCTACACTGCAAAACTTTCCCTTAACATGGACAACCTTCAGGACACTCTGGAAGCTGCCAGTTTTTTGCAGATTTTACCCGTTTTGGACTTCTGTAAAGTATTTCTTATCTCTGGGGTAAGATTATTTGTTTCCCATTTACAATGTTTAAGGCCTTGGTATGTAGTTTTGTTTTTTCTTCTGTAATAACACTGTCTTACATAATAGTCCAGGTTATGTCTAAAACTTGCTATTATTCATATTTAGATTCACAGAGGCCAAATTTGTTTTATGGTTTCCTTGAAAAACTTGGTTTTCTTCCGACTATTATGTGCAGTATGCGTTTGACAGAAGAGTTTTACCACATTAAAATTCTTCCCTTACATGGAAGTGAAGAATTGTTGATGTTTCAGGGTCTCCCTGCATGACTGCACTCAGTTTGGCATTATTCTGCTTGCTGCATTCACTACAGCAGTGGTGCAAGAGCTGAGCTGACTCTGTTCCTGTAGTTACAGCCCTTCCATCTCAAAGGGGGTGCACTCACCTGTTTTCTGACTCAACAGTTAAAAAGCATCACTCAGGATCCCTCAGCACCTTTCCTTGCCCTTTCCTTGTCCTGCCAGCAGTGAGGAGCACCTGCCCTGTGGGGCTGTAGAACAGCAGT